TATTTGCATTTTTTATTTATTTATTTTTTTTGCAGGATGTTTTGCCAGCACAATCTTGTGTGGATTACCAGTAATTCATTACAGCTTTGTGAATGGACCCTTTATAGTAGTACTATTTATTTTTTTTCTTCTAGTACATTAAAATATTCATGCCCAAACATATATTTAAAAAATGCCCTCAGCCACTTTTTATATTTTTAAAAGTGAAGTTAAGGTATGGCCATTTTTACATAGACACATTGATCAGCTTTAACCATTTTAAGTAGATATTTGCTATACCTGTGGAATCCTTTGGGAATATAATCAGCACTTCCCCAGTGATCTCCACCAGCTTTCAGGTCTCGTGCTGAGCAGCTGCCCTGCTGCTTACTGAAGTCAGGAGGCCACTTACAGAACACCTTGCATTCTCTCAATAAATGCAAAGTCTTCCCTGATTGGACAAGGTGTAGTGCGCAACATCACCGCCCCAACTCTCCACCTCCTCCATTCATTGAACACTTTGCATTCATTTAGCAAATGCAAAGTGTTTCCTGCTCGTACAGACCGATCAGCCTGCTGTGTTCATGATACAGCAAGGCAGCTGCTTGGCATGGGACCTGAAAGCTTCTGGAGCAACAGTAGCTCCTACAGTGATTTCCAGCTTCCAGGGGCATCTTGTCAGTATGGCGCATACGGCCATACATAAACTTCAGCTTTAAAAGCCAATTTCTCCTTATCCCCCATTGCCTCTTCCCTGAATCTTCAGCCACATGAATGCCCACTGCAGGACTACATGTCCCATATTGATGGTGCTATAGAAATCCTGTAAAATATCCTTTATCTCCAGTAACACAAAGTGGACACATGACCAGTATTGAAGCTGACAATCATCTCCTGGCAGAAGAGCAGGGGAATAGGCCATTCATGGAGTTCTGAGCTGCCTACTGTATATGTGGAGCATCACCACTTCAGGCTGCAAAGCCAGGAGGAAGTGCACTCAAAAGTGTGGCTACAGAGGACCCTGCAAAGGAATGGAGCCACCCTAAAAATGGAAGCAGGGGCTTAGGAAATTCTAGAGAGATGATCAGAGGAAAACAGAAGGCAAATGGAAGTTGTGGAGATGTATGCTTCAGACAATTTTTTTTTTTAAAAGGAGGGTTGAATTACACTTTAGGTCCTCATGCACACTAGACGTTTTTACAGCTGCTGCTTTTGGCTTTTTACTTTTTTTTTTTTATACAGCCAGTAAACTCCCCAGCATGTTGTTGTACAGTTGTGACCAAAATTATTCAACCCCCAATGCTGTAAAGGGGTTTAGGGACTATAGTGTACATTTGGAATTGTATTCAGAATCAAATCCTACAAGGACGTTGTAACTACCCAAATGCAACTAAAATGACATCAATTGTTTATGTAATACAGTAGTAAATGGTTCTTATGTGGTTTCTTCATTGCCACAATTATTCAACCCCTTAAAGACTACCACTCTGAAGAACAGAGGTTCATACAGGTGCTTTCCATCAGGTATTGAAAACACCTGTGGATGTCACCGAGCAGCAATCAAGCATAATAAGCACCAATTAGGCAGCTTTAAAATGACTGTGATACTCAGCTCCTTCTAGACATTTACTGGTGTGGTTACAAACATGGTGAAGGCAAGAGAATGGTCCAGGAAGACAAGAGAAGAGGTGATTTCTCTTCACAGGAAGGGCAATGGCTATAAGAAGATTGCAAAGATGTTAAACATACCAAGAGACACCTTAGGAAGCATCATTCGCAAATTCAAGGCAAGGGCACTGTTGAAACGCTACCTGGTCGTGGCAGAAAGAAGATGCTGACTTCGACTGCTGTGCGCTACCTGAAGCGTAGAGTGGAGAGAAGTCCCCGTGTGACTGCTGAGGAACTGAGAAAAGATTTGTCAGATGTGGGTACAGAAGTTTCAGCCCAGACAATAAGACGCACACTGCGTAATGAAGGCCTCCGTGCCAGAACTCCCAGGCGTACCCCCTTGCTGTCTCCAAAGAATAAGAAGAGTCGACTGCAGTATGCCAAAAGCCATGTGGACAAACCACAAAAGTTGTGGGATAGTGTTCTGTGGACTGATGAAACAAAATTAGAACTGTTTGGGCCCATGGATCAACGCTATGTTTGGAGGAGGAAGAACAAGGCCTATGATGAAAAGAACACCTTGCCTACTGTGAAGCATGGTGGAGGGTCAATCATGCTTTGGGGCTGTTTTTGCTTCTGCAGGTACAGGGAAGCTTCAGCGTGTGCAAGGTACCATGATTCTCTTCAGTACCAGGAGATATTGGATGGAAACGTGATGCAGTCCGTCACACACCTGAGCTTGGGAGACGTTGGACCTTTCAACAGGACAATGATCCCAAGCATACCTCCAAGTCCACTAGAGCATGGTTGCAGAGGAAAGGCTGGAACATTTTGGAGTGGCCATCGCAGTCACCAGACTTAAATCCGATTGAGAACCTCTGGTGGGACTTAAAGAAAGCAGTTGCAGTGCGCAAGCCTAAGAATGTGACTGAACTGGAGGCCTTTGCCCATGAAGAATGGGCGAAGATACCCGTAGATCGCTGCAAGACACTTGTGTCAAGCTATGCTTCACGTTTAAAAGCTGTTATAACTGTAAAAGGATGCTGTACTAAGTACTAAGATTGAATGTCACTTGGGGGTTGAATAAAACTGATAATGCTGTGAGCACAGAAAAGACATTTGTGGTTATTTCATTATAACTGTTATGTTATATTTGTCTGACCTACAAGGCCTCTTTAATGTAAATGTAAGCAAGATGACTGAATGATCAAAAAGCAATGTCAAACTGGCCAAAACACTCAATTTCAGTGGGGGTTGAATAATTTTGGTCACAACTGTATGTGTCATTGCACACATAGACTTAATCAGAATTTTTTGGCTGGAAAAAAATTCCAGAACTTGGGTTTCTAGAGGAGATTTTTTTTACCTGTAAAAACACTCTAATGCTGAAAAACACGGTAAATCACGGCAAACTAGCGTTTTTGGACTTTTTTTGACCCAAAAAATAAAGTCCTAAAATGCTAGTTTGCCACGATTTACCGCGTTTTTTGGTCAAAAACTAAAAAAAAAAAAAAAAAAATGCAAACGCAAAAAACACTGCTAGACGCTAATACAAGAAGTAAAAAAAACGCTGAAAAACTCACGTTTTTAACATGACTTCACACAGCGTTAACAGCATTATTAAAACACCCCGTGTGCATGGAGCCTAGAGACTGTGTGGTACTGTCTGTGGCTGCAGGACAGAGGAGAGCACTGTGCCCAGGTGTCTTGGGTTCTATGCCAGTGCCTAGCCACGGTGGAATGGTAACATTCTGCAGTGTGCCCCCATATCGCTGCACCCACTTAATGAACCTTCTGTAATGAGTATGTATAGTCATAATGGTTTTTTTTTTTTTTCCAGTTTTAGATGGCATAGGAAAGATTATTTTTTGCTGTCTGTATTCTGCTCTGGAGATTTCCCTTCACTGCCTGTTAAAGATGCAAGAGGAAGTGAGGGGAAATCTCCAAAAAGTGAATGGAATTCCTTTCTTGGTTGTCACCAATGCATTTGTTTTCATTGGAAAGTCCCCCCTCACCTATTTTTTCTCATGAAATGTAGCATTTAGGATTTCTTACCAGTTTCTGTCTCTGTGACTAATGGAGGGGGAATCTTTACAACAGTGGTACAGACAGCAATAGAAAGTTGCCACTGGGTGAAGTCTTTGATCACTCTACCCACATCTATATGAGAAAATGTTTTGCCTTTATATACATTTTATTAGGCTGACATGGTCACACTTTTACACCACAAGATGAACTCTAAATAAGAATATCCGTTATTTTCACAGGTCATTGTAATGTGATGGAATCCTATGCTAGCTAGTTGGAAAGTTGGAATAAACTTTTCTAAACTGCCCATGCTTTGTTTTCAAATTTTACTTTTAAGAGGTTAAAGCAAACCTTCACCTCGAAAGACAAAGTGGGTGTACCTGGCTCCAGCCCCCTCCCTTCACCACAGTTGGATATTTTTTTAAGGTGCTTTTTTTTTTTTTTTTTTAGCTGCAAGGCAGCACGTCCTCCTTTTCCACCTGGACAAGAATGACGTTGTGTTCAGATATGCTGAAGGGCTCTGGGCTTCCGGACCTGGCAGAGAACTTTAGCACATCTGCGCACAAGCACATTAGGATGGTGAATTGAAAGAGGTCCAGGACTGCTTTTCCTGAATACATGTGAGCACAGCTCGACAGAGATGGCAGATGTGCCACAGGGCTTTGCCAGGTCCCAAAGGCTGGGTGGAGCCCTTCTGCACATGTGTGCACATTCAGGACACCATAATCAAGGGGGCTGAAGTTCATCGTCCAAGTGTATGTCCAGATAAAGCTTTTTCATTATTTTATTATGATTATAATTTTTTTTTTTTTTTTTAATATTTAAATGTTGATAGAGGGGATTAGATGCCTCGTTATACCTTTACTGCCATCTGGGGCTTTGTTAGAGTTGCCTTCGCTTACTGTCTGCTGACAACCGTTTTAATCTGACAGGAGTAAGGGAAAATCTGCTGTAAGGGCTCTGACAGCAATAAAAAGCTCACAGGGTTTCCAGTCTTCTCCCACTCTACTGGAAAAAGGAGATTTTTTTTTTCTCTGTCTTGCCATTGGTGCTTTTGTCTCCCTTTCTACCTAGCGAAATAATTATCAGGTCAGTAAGTATGGGATAATCTCTCTAATGGAGCTATTGATTGCAGTAAAAAAAAAACAGAACAGGGATCTTATCCTTCCTCATTTTATCCAAAAGTATAAAATAAACATTTTGGCTATATATACACTTTAATGAACTTTTGATTTGAAACTGAGACATGTTTGTCAAGAGGTAGTGGTTCATTTGCACAACTGTCTTATTTGCAGAAGTAGATGTGTCTGGCAAAAACAAGAGAAAGAAAGGAAAGTAAAGGGACTTTTTCATAATGGTATTACTTGTGTCTTGATCTTTCTAGGATGGCGTTTGCGGTGCAGGAGAAACACTTTGCCCCGTCCTTACTAAGTTTTTTCATCTATAATCCCAAGTTTGGCCCAAGAGAAGGAGAGGTAAAAATACAATGATATATTTAGTTCTTCAGTTGTCTAGCCAGACACCTAAACACAGTTAAAATGTATGCATTTAAGTTTGAAGCTGCTTTTATTTTCCTATCAAGGTGTCACTAAAGTGAGCCTTCCCTGAAAAATGGAAGGTCTGCTTTCCTGCCTGCCACCCCCCGATACCCAAACAAAATTGGCTGCAAAAAAAAAAAAAAACCTTCTAAAAATATATATTAAAAAAAAAATCCCACAGTCCTGTCTTTCACATGGCTCAGCACTGCCTTGAAATCCAGTCCAATGCATTTGAGTGAGATTTCAATTGCACAATTTTTTGGGATGCTTGATTTGTTTTGGCTCTGGGATACTGCAGGAAAGTAGATCCTGAGCACTGGGAGGTTCCTCATTGGGTTAATACTGTGGAACTGAGTGTTGGTGTCATCTGTTGGGTGGCATGTTGTGTGTTCCCTCTGTGCTCCCTTTCCTGCTATATAGGTGCAAAGATGAATTTTCCCACTGCTGCTCTTTCATGCAAAGAGCCAAATGGAGTCTGATATTTGATCCATTTCTGCTCCCCGCCTGGTCACCTCTGGCCACTTTACCCTCACCTTCTACCAGTTGTCTGGGTTTTGTGAATAAACTGCACTGTTCTAAACCTTCATAAACAAAATATAAAACATGACCATAACTGACATGCTAAAGTAATTCAAAAATAACATTAAGATTAGTCACTTGTACTCCTGAGGATTTACCCCCCCCCCCCCCCCCTTCCTGACCAGGCCATTTTTTGCATTACGTCATTGCGTTACTTTAACTGACAATTGCGCGGTCATGCAACGCTGCACCCAAATGAAATTTAAGTGCTTTTTTTTTCCACGAATTGAGCTTTCTTTCGGTGGTATTTGATATTTTGAACCGCCTGTGCGGTTTTTATTTTTTGCGCTATAAAAAAAAAAGACTGACAATTTTGAGAAAAAAACAATAATTTTGACTTTTTGCTATTAAACATGTCCAGTAAAAAAAAAAAGTAAAAAATCAAATTTTGTCAAATGTAAGCCAAAATGTATTCTGCGACATGTCTTTGAGAAAAAAATCCCAATATGTGTAAATTAATTGGTTTACGTGAAAGCTATAGCATTTACAAATGGCGGTATATATATACTGGACTGTTTTAAAAAAAATTTTTACTAGTATTGGCAGCGATCAGCGACTTATTGCGGGACTGCGGCGGGCATTCTGACACTGGTGGGAACTGACTTGGTGTCGCTGACATCCCCAGTGACACCAATACAGTGATCAGTGCTAAAAAAAAACACTGACACTGTACTAATGGCACTGGGCAGGAAGGGGTTAACATGAGGGACGATCAAAGGGTTAACAGTGTGCTGTTTCACTTGTGTCTGTGTGCTTCACTGTAATCACACTGCTTTGCCAAAGCAGTGAGCACGAGCTGACAGGGAGGAGAACTGTTTTTGTTTACTAATAGTTCTCCTCCCCATCGGCGATCCTCGGCAATCACCGGGTGTCAGCGAGTAATCACCGGCCGGGACCCGCTAGTAAGGTCAGTAGCGCTTGTTTGGTGATATATTGCTAAGTCTCCAATGGCTTGTTCCTATTGGGCCTTCTCCGATGGTGTACCGTCATGCATGCAAATAAAATACCAGGGGGATTGTTTGATTTTATTAGAACACATGGAAGTATTTTTAAAAATTCACACTCACATTTGTTGGTGCCTATAAGAACTGGCACTGGGTGTGTATGGCTTGTATAGGGAGGAAAAGATGGCCGCAGCTGTGCATGTGTAAGAAACCAGCATGTTCTCCAGCAGGAGGATATGACCTTGCTGGAAGTGACATCAGATCGTGGACCACACCCTGACAGGTTTTGTTCTGACTGGACGTCTTCAGGAAGTCTTTCAGCCACGTCATATTCTCCCCCTTGTGAAAGCAATAATACTAAATGAAATAAAAAATTAAAGTGTAAAAAAAAAAAAAAAAAATAAGGTGGCAGTAAAACCTGAAGTTTAAAGATTTCCTGTATTCTCCATCAACTCCAAGAAAAAGGATTTGATGGTTAGTACAAAAATTAAATTGAGTTAAAAAAAAATGGACAAAACAAACTATTCTGGGAAATGAAGATTCAGCATTGCGTTAGGCTGCCAAGATCTTAACCCAAAAAAAAAAAAAAAAAAAAAAAAAAAGGCCCAGATCTCCAACTGCATAACGGAATACATACATCAGATTGCAGGTTGATAAACAAGACACTTTACATGTCCCCCGTTTCCTGCTTTCCTGTTTGTACCTGGCAAATACCACCCACATGGAAGAAAAATATATTTGAAATATATTTGAAATATATTCTTCCCAAATATTTCGCCATATATTTGAAATGCTACAATTTTTACCTTATTATTTATATTTATATATATATATAAATATATATATATAATATATATATATATATATATATATATATCTATATATATATATATATATATATATATATATATATATATAATAATAAACACTGCATGTTGAAATGTGTTTTTTATTAAAAAATATATGAAAAATATACTGTATGTCTTTAAAAATACAAATCTACATTTTTGGAATGCATTTCCAAATATATGTAAAAATATATGTTCAGATTTTTTTTAACATATAAAAAGTCATTTGAAGAATATATTAGAATATTTTTAAAATATATTTTCAAATACCGTATATACTCGAGAATAAGCCGACCCGAAAATATAAGCCGAGGTACCTAATTTTACCACAAAAAAACTGGGAAAAACTATTAGCTCGAGTATAAGCCGAGGGTGGGAAAAAAAAAAATGAGGCACCTACTAGTCAATGTAAATTGGTGTCAGTGGGAGGAATATGCCCCATCATTGGTGTCAGTGGAGGAATAATGCCCCATCATTGGTATCAGATTTGGGAGGAATAGTGCCCCATCATTGGTGTCAGTGGGAGGAATAGTGCCCCATCATTGGTGTCAGTGGGAGGAATAATGCCCCATCATTAGTATCAGTGGGAGGAATAATGCCCCATCATTTATTATCAGTGGGAGGAATAGTGCCCCATCATTGGTGTCAGTGGGAGGAATAGTGCCCCATCGTTGGTGTCAGTGGGGAGGAATAATGCCCCATCGTTGGTGTCAGTGGAGGAATAATGCCCCATCGTTAGTATCAGTGGGAGGAATAATGCCCCATCATTGGTGTCAGTGGGAGGAATAGTGCCCCATCGTTGGTGTCAGTGGGAGAATAGTGCCCCATCGTTGGTGTCAGTGGGAGGAATAGTGCCCCATCGTTGGTGTCAGTGGGAGGAATAGTGCCCCATCGTTGGTGTCAGTGGGAGGAATAGTGCCCCATCGTTGGTGTCAGTGGGAGGAATAGTGCCCCATCGTTGGTGTCAGTGGAGGAATAGTGCCCCATCGTTGGTGTCAGTGGTGGGAATAGTGCCCCATCGTTGATGTCAGTGGGAGGAATAGTGCCCCATCGTTGGTGTCAGTGGGGAGGAATAGTGCCCCATCGTTGGTGTCAGTGGGAGGAATAGTGCCCCATCGTTGGTGTCAGTGGGAGGAATAGTGCCCCATCGTTGTGTCAGTGGGAGGAATAGTGCCCCATCGTTGGTGTCAGTGGGAGGAATAGTGCCCCATCGTTGGTGTCAGTGGGAGGAATAGTGCCCCATCGTTGTGTCAGTGGGAGGAATAGTGCCCCATCGTTGGTGTCAGTGGGAGGAATAGTGCCCCATCGTTGGTGTCAGTGGGAGGAATAGTGCCCCCGTTGGTGTCAGTGGAGGAATAGTGCCCCCATCGTTGGTGTCAGGGAGGAATAGTGCCCCATCGTTTTGTGGTCAGTGGGAGGAATAGTGCCCCATCGTTGGTGTCAGTGGGGAGGAATAGTGCCCCATCGTTTGGTGTCAGTGGAGGAATAGTGCCCCATCGTTGGTGTCAGTGGGAGGAATAGTGCCCCCATCGTTGGTGTCAGTGGGAGGAATAGTGCCCCATCGTTGGTGTCAGTGGGAGGAATAGTGCCCCATCGTTGGTGTCAGTGGGAGGAATAGTGCCCCATCGTTGGTGTCAGTGGGAGGAATAGTGCCCCATCGTTGGTGTCAGTGGGAGGAATAATGCCCCATCGTTGGTGTCAGTGGGAGGAATAGTGCCCCATCGTTGGTGTCAGTGGGAGGAATAATGCCCCATCATTAGTATCAGTGGGAGGAATAGTGCCCCATCGTTGGTGTCAGTGGGAGGAATAATGCCCCATCATTAGTATCAGTGACACCAATGATGCGGCACTATTCCTCCCACTGACACCAATGACACTTGCTGACCCCTGTTGCAGTATGGTGCTGCTGCAGCCAGCATATGTGGTTGCAGCAGCACCTCTGCACTGCACACTTACCGGCTTTTTCCCTCACTCGATTTTCGCGGGTCCGCTCAGGCTCCGCCTCCTCGCCCATGATTGGCCGCCTGTGTACCTTTCCTGAGCTACAGTTCTGGCGGCCAATCACCGGTGAGGAGGTGGAGCCGAGCGGCGGGAGTGGCCGGAGTGACAGAAGGAGCAGCGCTTCTTGGATGGATCATCGTGGGACCGGAGCCAGTAAGAGACAGCAGCCCTCTGCCCACCCCTGTACGCGCCCCCCTTGACGGAGCCTCGCGCCCCCCCTGGGGGCGCACCCCACTATCTACAGATGTTGACTCGAGTATAAGCCGAGGGGGCCGTTTTTCAGCACAAAAAATGTGCTGAAAAACTCGGCTTATACTCGAGTATATACGGTATATTTTTCTTCCATATGGGCAGTGTCCCCTTTAACAGTTAAAAGATGACTTGGGGATGCTGGTTTTAGAAGCAGAATTTCAAAGAAAAAAAAATCTGTGTTTGAAGCTGCCAAGAAAAAATTGTTTTCATGTCATGTAGGACCCCTTTGCGACTGATGAGCTTCTTCGCAACTCTGAAACTTTGTACCTAAACTTTATGTGATGTGATCACTTTAATAAAGCTGACTTTTTAA